TTTTTTTTTTTTTTTTTTTTTTTTTTAATTCCGTGGGACCGTGCTTGCAGACAAGGAGCTGGAGTACATGATGAGGGCCGTTCAGCTTGCGGGGGCCTCGGCAGGCCTTACGGCTCCCCATCCTAATTTTGGATGTGTGATTGTCCAAGGGCCGGAGATCGTTGGGGAGGGATATCTTTATGCTCAAGGAACCGTGAGCGCCGAAGTGCAAGCGGTTTCACATGCCAAGGAAAGGAGCTATGGGGCGACGGCGTACCTTAATCTGGAGCCCGGCGACTGCCATGGGGATTTTGCAGCGGTTGTTGCGCTGAGGCAGGTCAGTGGAGAGGGGAAAAATAAAGAAAAAAAGGGAGAACTTGGGTGCTGTCACGGTTTCAGGTTGTAAATGCGCTTCAGTCACGTTTTCGCGAATGTTGTGCCAAAGCGAGGAAAATCGTGAATGTATACAACCCAACTTTAGGGTTTAGGGTGGGGATGTGTTGTATTCGAGGGATATCTGAAGTGCATTTAAAATTGAAATCGTGACTGCGCCCTACCGTCTTCCCCCGAACACAACGCACCGTCATTCTGACTGTATCTGGCCGGAAACATACCTTGTATACTTTCCTTTTCAGGGTGCGTTATGTTCGGGGGAAGACGGTAGTTACCCCGAAAAAGAAACACGGGGCAGGTGCCTGGTGCGCAGCAGCCTGGGGGCGATGTTCCTTCCACTAGCAAAAGAGGATTGGATTCAACGCCTGAATGTGGATCTGTTTGTGGACAGGTGCAGAAAATCTTGATTGATCCGCTGTTCTGCATCTCTGCTTCAAACCCATCCAGATTCAGGCGCTCAATCCAATCCCCTTTGCTAGTGGGACGTCAACCTTGGTGGATTGCCAAGTCCGGACTGCAAAAACGTTCCCCCAGAAGCGGGCGTGAAAAAGCAAGGAAACGGAGAAAGGAAAAGGGGGAAAAAAGAAGGATTGAAGAAAGAAGAAAGAGATTAAAAAAAAAAGAATCAAGCAAGAAAACGGCTTTGGGATCCCCCAAAAAGTGAAATGAAAAATTTGACAGTCCAAAACCCTTGATGATTGCTGTTGCTGTTTATGGTTACCCAAATTACCCTCCACTTTCTTATTTTGATTTTGCTACCCGTGAATGCTGCCGTCTTCCCCCGAACAGAACGCACGGTAATTATTGCTGTATCTGTGCTGAAAGTTGGCCCAAATACAACTTTAATTACCGTGGTGGCAGCAATAAGTGCGGGTTGCATAGCGTAGCAGTGATCAAAGCCTATCGGAAACCAAAATGAGGAAAGTTGGGAGATGGGAGAGGGAGGAGGACGTGATATATATTTTGAGAGAGAGAGAGAGAGAGAGAGAGAGAGAGAGAGAGAGAGAGAGAGAGAGAGAGAGAGAGAGAGAGAAGAAGAAGAAGAGAGAGAGTTCTAATCCTGCCCATGTCGAGGCGAGGGAACGCCGATAAGGGCTCTCAAGTCCTTAGCCGTTGAAAAGATCTGAACCGAAACCTAAGAAAATGAGGGGAACATATGTGCAGCCGGAGGTAGGTGGTCTGTAGCTTGGACTATGCCCGAGCTTGATTTACGCTGTGAAATCAAAACCTCTTAACTACTTTTTATTCGAGTTCTCTCTCTCTCTCTCTCTCTCTCTCTCTCATCTGTTGCACATTCCGATCTGCTGTGGGAGTCTAACTTGAGGAAATTGGGAAGAGAAAAAACTTGTAAATAACAGATAAAACTCAGTAATTGGTAGATCAAAACCTCCTTGCAAAAGATGAAAAAGCCCTCGCGAAAGATGAAAACCCCCTCTCAAATTTCCCTCACTCATGATCCCCCTCCGGCCGGACGCACGCACACACACACACACACACACACACACACACACACACACACACACACACACACACACACACACACACACAAGCATGCGATCATCAATAATTCTACATCAGATGCACACAGGGCTCGTGTGAGTGAAGTCGATCACTTTTCTCTCTCAGAGGTATGGCTAACTCTGGGCGATGTGGTGAGTCCTTATCCATTAGTCAAATGCATCCTGGACAGACTGTCTGTCCAGGTTCAACCTCCTCCTGATGAGTCGGTGAAAGTGCGACGAAACAGTCTGGCGCAGTCATGCTTTTTTTGAGTGTATAGCGAATATGACAACACACACACATACAAGAATGCGATTTTATATTGTTTTTTCCCCCTGTACACGTTATATGTCGTTATCTCTCGGTTGCTGTCTCAGATATATGTTTTTTAAGAATATTTTTTGTGTTTGGGGAACATGATTTTTAACCTGTGTAATACTGTGTATATTTCCCCCCTCTGTGCGCGTTTCTCGCTCGTATGCAGGCACGCGTGGCACGGGTGGTTATTGGTCTCCGGCAGCCCCTTTCACACCAGGCAGGCCGAGCCATATCCGCCTTGAGGGAATGTGGTATAACTGTCGACGTCCTTGGTGAAGACCACAATTGGGGACCCAATGCGGAGGTACGCCTTTTTTTTTTGCCTCCAAGAGGATTCGTCTTCTTGATTCTTCTTTTCGAGCATCTGGAGATCGTCATCATCATCATCATCAACATCAACATCAACATCGTCATTTATCATTAAGGAATAGTACAGAATTTATAACACAGAAATAGTCATAGTAGAATTAACAATTTATACCGATATTATACATGATATTCAAAAGTAAGTGGAAGAAGAGAAATAATATAATAATAATAATAATAATAATAATAATAATAATAATAATAATAATAATAATAATATAACAATGATGAGAAGAAGAAGAAGAAGAAGAAGAAGAAGAAGAAGTATAACACAAAATAGTCATAGTAGAATAAACAATATATACCAATATTATACATGATATTCAATAGTAGCTGGAAGAAATGAAATAATCATAATAATAATAAAATGCGAGGACTGAGCCCTCACGGTGCCCCAACAGACATGCAATTGTTCTCGGCTGTGGGCCCCAGCAAGCATTGTGCCTGCCCTAAGCGAAGGCGGGCCTGAATATCCTCCAAATGCCTACTTTCAACATTTTTCCATATGTGGGTACCCAAACAGTTGCAGCACGCCAGATGGTTACAGAGAAACGTGAGCCTCCAGGCTCTTTCCAGCAACAAGGGCTGCGATGTACAGTTGAGCCCAGGGCTGGGTGGTTGCGCCCTGGGCACACGCAGTGTGAGGTCGACACATCACGCAGCGGCCACGGACGGATGAGAAAGCAGCATTGTTGTCACACAACCTCTGCGAGCCAATGAGAATGTGGCCAAGACTTGGAGCCTGTAAGGCTACCAGTACGTGCCCAACCAAAAACAGCCCCAGTCGGGTCCACACAGACACACACAGGGGCTGCACTTTCCATAGAGGAAAGAGGCAGCCCAGTCAAGGATTCTGGCCTAGGCAGGCAATGCAGACACGCTGCTGCGGGCGCTGCTGGTTGGACGCGCGCACGGGCGCAGTGGTGAGAGGGGCGCTGCTGAGGCAGCGGGCGCACAGCAGCCATAGACGGGCAGCTGGGCCGCAGGGCAGGTGATGGTGATTGCGGTCTTCAGGTGGGAGGAGCATGAAGAGGGGATGACGAGGGGTGATGAGGGGAGGAGAGAGAACGTACCTGGTGTAGGCTTGTGGTCGGCATTGGTGTTGACGTCACGTACGTTCGTCTTCGACTTCAGAGTGATGCAGTTGCAAGAACGTAGATAGGCTAGATAGGCTGAGTAGGATAGGCTGAGCGCTGGGCGCCAGACATTAAGTGTGGCATTGGATACAGTGTTGGTGTGACCAGAGAGTGGCGACATTGACACATAAGTTCGTTGTATTGCTCTTATTTGGATGGTAACTTGGTGCATTGCGCTCTCTGCTTGGTTCATGACTATCTGAGCTTCTTCGTGATTTTGCAACCTGGTTTTCTGTCTATCACTCTCGCTCATATTCCTTGCAAAAAAAAAATATCAATAATAATAAGAGGAGAAGAGGAGAAGAAGAAGAAATAATAATCAAGAAGACCTGAAAAAGGAGGCACGACCAAAATATTTCCGAACATAGATTCCATTGGGGAAAAAACGATGCAAGGAGGGCGAGGAGGAAAACGGAGGTAGCAGCAAGCATGGCTTTTTGATGTTTTTCTTTGAACCCAAAAGCTATCTTCAAGCTGATGTTTCCCTTTGAACCCAAAAGCTATCTTCAAGCTGGGAAACAGCTTCAAATCCGGGCTGACCGTTCGCTCAGAAGAAGAAGCGGAACCAGCAGCAGCAACGGCGGCAGCAGCAGCAGCAGCAGGTAGAAGAAGTGAGGAAGGATGGAAGGACGGAAGGAAAGGAGGAGCAGGAGAGGAAGGAAGTGCCGATTGGAGAAAGAAGGAAAGGCGAACGTGAGGAAGTTGGGCAATAAGGAAGGAAGAGGGGGAGGGTGGAAGGGGGGGGGTGGGAAGGAGGACCGGAGGAACGGAGGGAGGAAGGGAGGAAAGAAGGAAGGCAGGGAAGAGAAAGGGAGAGGAAGAAAAGAAAGAAGAACTGCTATCTTCTTGGTTACGATGATAATGATGATGATGATCGTGATGATGACGAGTCACTGAGGCATAATGGAAGAAGGAAGGCAGGGAAGAGAAAGGGAGAGGAAGAAAAGAAAGAAGAACTGCTATCTTCTTGGTTACGATGATAATGATGATGATGATCGTGATGATGACGAGTCACTGAGGCATAATGGAAGAAGGAAGGCAGGGAAGAGAAAGGGAGAGGAAGAAAAGAAAGAAGAACTGCTATCTTCTTCGTTACGATGATAATGATGATGATGATGGTGATGATGATGAGTCACTGAGGCATAGTGGAGCGGAAGAATGGACGTAGGAAGGAAGGAAAGAAGGGAGGGAGGACGGGAGGGAGTGATGATGATGATGATGGTGATGGTCACTGAGCTATAGTGGAGTAGGATTCAACCAGGTAGGTTTGTAGTTCGAATCTCAGGAAGAAAATGTAGAGATAGTGGAAGAGAGGATCGCGTTGTTGATCGCCCACACAAACTCTTTTTTGATTGGCTGCATCTCCAACGGCTGGCATGGTAACCAGGCTGCTTTTTTTTTTTGACTGATTACAGTGATTAGTTGAATTCACTAGTGAGACTGGTGTATTGAGTGCAGAGACTTGCCAAATATTTCACTTGTTTGCGAGGTTTAATCGAAGTTTACGACTAAAAAATCGTTTCTTGATTTTACTCTGAGAGAGAGAGAGAGAGAGAGAGAGAGAGAGAGAGAGAGAGAGAGAGAGAGAGAGAGAGAGAGAGAGAGAATTTGATCTAGATGGTTGACCACACATTACGCCGCTGCTTTGTACTTTGTGTGTTTGATTTGTTGTTTCAAATGCATGTTAATTCATACCCACCTCAAGTTTAATATCTCTGTTATGAACACCTGCTTTTGATTAGTAACCCTGTCGCTTCTTTTTTTTCTTTTCTTTCCACCTCAGGTTTTATATCTGTGTTTTGAAGACCTGCTTTTGATTAGTAACCCTGTCGCTTCTTTTTTCTTTCTCTTTCTTTCTGGCTGTTTGCCTGCATGCACGCTGCTTCAATCCTGTCCTTGATCTCTTGGACCTGGATCGGCTCTGGGAATTCTAGGAAGCATGGCAGGCGTGCCGGGAAGTGAACATGCCCCTTCTCTACCGGGCTGCCTATCAGATGCCTTTCTCTATTCTGAAATATGCTATGACTTTGGACGGTAAGTGACAACGTTTCCTATCTGAGACAAACCCTTTTAGAAATGGCAGTGCCCTATGCATGTGTTTTCTCTCTGTGGTAAGCTTGCGATTTTTGTTTATCACATTCCGTTGTGTGATATCACACTGGTTTCTTCCCTGCGTGTGTTCTCCCTGTCTCTCTGTTCTACTTCCTGTGTCTCTCTGCCGTACTCCAGCACATGCCCTTGTGTCATTTCACACTCTGTGACAACCTATATATAAAATAAAATAAAACGTTGTGCAGGCTGAGGTGTAGGCAGGGCCTACTCCGACGGCCAGTGCTATAATCACACTCCCACTACACACCCAGGGCAGAGCGGGAGGGAGTCATTTCACACTCTTTTACTCCCTGCGTGTGTTTGTTCTCTCTGTCTGTCTTACTCCGCACGTCTCTCTGTCCTGATCCCCGTGTCACTGTGTCTTACTCGCCCTGTGTGTTCTTTTTTTTTCCTCAAAAAGGGCAATGGCCTTGAGATGCCCCGTGTTCCCCCCCGCTTCCTCAAAAAGGGCAACAGCCTTGAGATA